CAAGTCTTAAACTGGAAATAAGTGTAAAATGTATTGATACAATTTGTTGTTCTATGAATGATGTTTTGGTTACATGTACCATCAATTGTCTCCGTTCATTTTTGAATTTTTCTCGTTAATGAGTATAGCTTCCATATATTTTCTCTCTTTAAAATCTTTGGTAAAAATTTACATATACTTAAATATCAAACAGCTTGTATGTATTAACCCACAAGAAACTGTAAAACAAAACGTTGTTAGGAATAAAAACAAACCAAATATATATATATATATACATCTGGAGTGTAAAGGTTGTTTATCTAAACTTTTATCACAATGTGTAAATCCCTCCAGTATGCACTACAAACTTTGAAAGAAGATAAAGTATATTTGGTAGATATAAATTGATTTTGAGAAAGAATATTATGATATTTCACTAATTTATTAAATCTATCAGTTTCTGCCGTGCTTTTTATGATTTATGTATACATAGAAGTGTTGAATACTCCAACTGGCAAAATAAAGCATCAAAGTAAATATTTCAATGAATATTACTCAAGTTGAAACTGAATTACACAGTTGAGTGTGGAAGTTTGAACAAAGTTCAATTAACTTACTGCAAGTAAATGTTCAGTAGCTGTTTGCTGATTGTTTAATCTATGATTCATTTGAAGGATTAGAAGCATCTTCTTCATCCATAGTATAGTCTTGTTTTCAGCTTTACTGATTACTTTGAACATACTGGGGATTTATACCACATCATATTCACTTAATGTGTCCTTGAACCTAGGATTAACATGTTCCTTTAAACCAGATAAGTGCCATGATTAGTTCTTAAGTTTTATTATATTTGATATTATATTTTAAGAACTTATTGAGGGCATGAGCTGTATGTTGCACATGCCTGCTTGAAACGATCTTTCAATCTTCTAACAGTCAATCCAATCTAAGAGTCCCCACACTATGAAATCTCCAAGCTACAAGTAATGATCTATTTACCATACACAGGCTCACACTCACAAATCTTGAAGAAGAAACTAATCAGCAGTCTATACACAAGTTCACCTTCAATTTGTGTTCAGATCTTTATTGAAAATTCATAATTTTTTTCTGATGTAAGCCTCTCCACATGTTGGATAGCAGAATCCATAAATAACACGTGGCAAAACATTATTTTTATTTGATATATTTTTTCTATCCCATTTTAGCTGTTTTCTGAATTTACCCACCACAGGTTGTTTTAACTACAAACTCTCCAAATTCTTATGTTTGTTTTTAACAACTTTTACATTGATTTTACTGATAATGTTTATTTAGTCAGTCTAGATATTCAATCTCTGTTCACTAACCTTCCTCTAGGTGGCACTATTAATCTCTTTGTTAATCTTGTTTTCAATGATAAGAACTCTGTTCTTCAGTTTGGTGGTGAATTTTATGAACAGATTGATGTTGTGTACATGGCATCTAGCTTTGAGCCTATAACGACTGATGTTTTCATGTGCTTTCATGAGACTAGTTGGCTGAGGGATTGTTCTACTGAATTCAAAACACTTACTTACATCACTACGTTGATAACATATTTGCAATATTCAAAAATGAAGATCAATTAGTGAAATTCATAAAATATTTGAGTTCTAAACCTGTTGATATTATATCCATCTGTAAACACCAACAATGTTCTGCTCTACCTTTTCTTGACACATACATTTTCAACAAACAATGGTATTTTGATACCAGTTGTTATCAAAAACCCGACTACAACAGACTATACACCCACTTTAACAGTTTTGTTCCACTTCAAAGAAAACCTTGAGAAATATCTTACATCTCATGCACACCATATCACCGGTTCACTTGAACGTTTAGAGCAAGAACTACTCAAACTAAAATCTGTTTTAAAACTTATCTGTTTCTCGACCTACTTTACTAATTCTACCATCAATAAAACTGTTCAACAACTACTTCTACCCAGTTTACTGAACTACGAAATCTCGAAGCTACATGTAATGATCTATTTAGAATACACAGGCTCACACTCACAAATCTTGAAGAAGAAACTAACCAACAGTCTATCGAGATTTAAATAGTGTATCCAATTTTCTCAATAGTCACATGTTATTGATGAATCCTGCTACCCAACATGTGGGGATGCTCACATCAGATCGATTGTTAGAAGACTGGAAGATTATTTAAATGAACACTAATCCTAGGCTTAAGGACAGTTCAAGCATTGTTCGGCATGCATTAACTGAATATGATGTGGTCCCAACCCCCAGTATGTTCAAAGTAATCAATAAAGCCGAAAACGAGACTATACTGCGGGTGAAGGAGACACTTCTAATCGTGCAAATGAAGCGGAGATTAAAAATTCACCAAATAACTACTGAACTTTTACTCACGAATGAGGTAAGATGAAACTGATTGGATACATAAAATGGAAATTTATGGTCAATACTTAAAAAATTAAAGTTGGGAAACAAAAGTGCTTTTAATATTTTTTCAAAATAGTATCTCACAAAAGAATCTTGGACATTTCACAACATAAAATATGATTGATAAACTAAAAAAAAATTATATGATTTTTTTTAAAACTGAAACTACACATTACATAGTAACCAAATTACATGAAATATGGAACCAATTAAAGCATTTCCAACATCAAAGAGAAAACAATCAAGAAATATTTGTAAATAGGTGATAAGCTCCCCCCCTAATCAAGTTCAAGGCATAGTATCCATCACTACTGCTACAGCATACGAATCACTATGTAATTTCATGTTTGCCTTGAAAAGTTTGTTGTTGTTTTTTTATCTCAAATTGTGATACAATAACACTTATCTTGTGGACTAAAAGAAATAGAAGAATCTATAACATTAAATTATCATGACATGATAAAATGAAACAGCAGTAAAACAGAAAGAGGGATTAAACACACACAAAAAAAGAAAAATAAGAGAAGCCAGATGCACCTAACAAATGTATAATGCAATTCAGTCAACCTAGAAAAAAATCAACAAAATCTTGATAACCTATTGGAAAAGCTCAGATGAATGGATGGCACACACCAGTGTTTCAAATAAGATACCTACTTCTGCAACCATATGGTCTTTCTCACGCCCTCCATGAAAACAACAGTGGATTAGCACATAAAATGTTAGTATAAACAGTACTAACTAATAATAATATATTAGTCCAATCAGTAGTTGTGGTGGTTCTTTATTCTCCTGAAGAAGAATATCAAACTATTCAAAAACTCTCAAGTTTTGGGTCTCGTTTGAAAACCATTACAACCATATTGTAAAATATATAATTTCCTAAGATAAACTACACTGATTTAAGTATAAGAAGCTTATCTGTAACAGGATTTGTAACTTATATTATACCAGACAGAGTAACAACAACTTCAAACAGCAAACCTTTTGACATGAATACTTTGTTCAGATCTCTGACACTATCACACAAAAAAGTCCAAGCTTCTAACAAAAAAATTTAAAACAAAGTTATCTTATTTTACTCTCAGTTTTAATTTTCTAATTCTTATACATTTAGAAATAAATTTAATTTCCCCTCATGCTTTCTCTTTTGTTTGAGTGTTGTTTTTGAGTCCTTCAAGGGAATAAAAAAATGCTATTTGTTTTCAAATGTGCAATTCTTATAAACTTGTGTTTAAGCAAATGTTTATTACAAATTATTTTTAACAATAGAATTAATTTTTCACCTGGGTGACTGTATGTTCTTTTTTATCAGTCCAGTAGACATAATTACCAAAGAGGGCTAATGACATTGGATGCCTGGATAACTCGTTCTTGTACACCATACGATGATTGTTTCCATCATACCTTACAGCATGAAGAATGCCAGACCTAAATACATTTAAACAATACAAAACTATAGCATAAAAATATCCACACTTAGAAAATGCAAAAACTACATCATAAACAAACACAATTATAATATTCTCTGACTGATAGCACGAAAACTTCACAAAGAGGAAACATTAAAAACTATATTATAAACAAACACTGTCCATTATACCTGACATCATGAAGAATTTACAACTAAGAAATTTTAAAAACTACATTATAAAAGAAACTAAAACCATTTATAACATCTAATAGCACAAAGAAGGAAACATTTTAAAAACTAAACCTTTCCATTATTTGGTGTATTAAAAATCCTAAACATATGCCACTTACTTGCCATCCACCCAATACACCACCTGAAGAATTCGGTCCAAGGTCAAGCCGTTAGGCCAGCCCCCTCTCTCGATATAGTTTATATCAACAAGAACCCTTCTATTTTGACCACTTAAGTCACTTCTTTCAATTCTTGGTTTCTCTTTTTCCCAGTCAGTCCAAAACAAGAAGCTACAAATGTTGTACGTTAAATTTCAATAAAACAGTTATCACATCACTATCTTCAAGCATAAAATTAATTAATACTGAAGCATACATATAATACATTTTTAAAAATGTTATAGCTACAATATAATCATTGGTACACAAGTTAATTGATTACATCTCACACATATTTTACTTTAAGGATAAAATGGTTTACAGAAGCTGAGGTAAATCATCTGTGTAGAGTTAAACATCAAACTTGAATTCAGAGGGTAACATTGTTTTTTAATATAAAAAAAGTTGTTGTTTTTTAAATAAGCTTTTAATTCATTAGAGCAGTGGTTCTTAACCTTTTTGGGAAGCTGCACCCATTCAGTTTACAGAATATTTCCTCTCACCCCTTGCCTTTCAGGATTTGTTAATAGTTCTCTCTTACCTTTAATTATATATCATCTATAACCAATAGAAAGTCAATGTTTCCATCTATCATATGACATATTATATTATGTTGTGTTCTGAACAGATAGACAGAAGCTTCATTCACGTGGGGACTTTAACGACTAGCATGGGAGAATTTGTAATGGCTATTGTCGCATAGTTACGGTTGAAAATTATAGAAAGTTTACTATCAATTTGCTATCAAGTGATCTCAGGAGTCCAAGGGAGAAACCCTATTTGTAATAGAAATGCCGAAATGTTTCACAACCAGAGAAATGACATTTCGCACCCCTAAGGGCTGTGTGCATCACAGGTTGAGAAACACTCCATTAGAGCATAAAATTTAAAAATCAATTTGTTAACAACCTAATAATTTTAAGAAAGAAAATTCAAATTTTCCTTCATGCTGAATTGAAGCTACAAGAACTGAAATGTTTTTTGTTGTTGTTTCTTAAACAGAAATGTAACCTTATTTACTAAAATTCCAACAAGTGTATTGTCTTCTTCTGGTAAATTAAAAAAAGCTAACTAAAGCTGCTACTTACTTATAAAGTTTCTGTTTTGTAGAATTGCATAATCAATGAAAACATCATATATAAAAATATACTTTATTTAAACTAAATGCTTCTTAAACCATTAACAAAAAATATGAAAATATACTTAATTTGAGCTAATTTCCTTTAATGTCATTAACACATTCACTGCCACTTGACACATGCATTCATCCAAGGTTATACCAGAAATCAGTTCCTGTTATTGGAGTTGGCATGAGTTAGAATATAGTTCATTTTATTGGAGATGGCATGCATTAGAAGTTGTTCATTTTATTGGAGTTGGCATGCATCAGAAGTTGTTCATTTTATTGGAGTTAGCATGCATTAGAAGTCAATTCATTTTACTGGAGTTGGCATGCATTAGAAGTCAGTTCATTTTATTGGAGTTGGCATGCATTAGAAGTCAATTCATTTTATTGGAGTTGGCATGCATTAGAAGTCAATTCATTTTATTGGAGTTAGCATGTGTTAGAAGTCAGTTCATGTTATTTTAGTTGGCTTGCATTAGAAGTAACTTCATGTTATTTTAGTTGGCTTGCATTAGAAGTCAATTCGTGTTATTGAAGTTGGCATGTATTAGAGGTCAGTTCATTTTATTGGAGTTGGCATGTTTTAGAAGTCCATTTATTTTATTGGAGTTGGCTTGCATCAGAAGTCCATTCATTTTATTGGAGTTAGCATGTGTTAGAAGTCACTTCATGTTATTGAAGTTGGCATGTATTAGAGGTCAGTTCATTTTATTGGAGTTGGCATGCATCAGAAGTCCATTTATTTTATTGGAGTTGGCTTGCATGAGAGGTCAGTTCATGTTTTTGGAGTTGGCATGTGTTAGAAGTCAGTTCATGTTATTTTAGTTGGCTTGTATTAGAAGTCCTTTCATGTTATTTTAGTTGGCTTGCATTAGAAGTGAGTTTGTGTTATTGAAGTTGGCATGTATTAGAAGTTAGTTCATGTTTTTGGAGTTGGCATGCATTAGAAGTCAGTTCTCACAAGAGGTTTCGTCTTGTAGAAATTTTGCTTGATTGTAACTAAAACTGTAAGCTGCCAAATGGAATGAGTTAAAAATTTTTAGTTGTTTATATTTTAATATTTGCACTATAAATACAAAGCAAATATACAAAAACAGTCTACAGAAACAAGCACAAACTAACTGCAATAAATCTTTTAACTGTATAAAAAAGTACAAAAATAATTTAAAAAAATAAAAATTTCCCAAACAAAGACTAAAGGGCTATATACAAAAACTTTCTGCTTCTATTGCCTTAAAACCAAAAGTAAAAATGTGCTTATTGAGGCCATGTGGAAATTAAGTGCAAATACAATTAGGAACAATAATAAAAGGCATTTCTTTAAAAAGAGTCTGGAACAAACTGCCATGTTGTTGAAGCTGAGTCTCCAATGATCATTTAAGAAACAGCTTAATAAGATTCTTGGATCAACATCCAAATGAGCAAGATTGACTAAATGGCCTCTCATTTGTAACCTTTCTTATGTTCTTATTTGGCAGTCTTAATCCATTCCATAATTGTGGTTATACTTGGCTTCTTGGACTTCACTGAGCTGTCTGGTAGCAGGACCTCTTTTCCAGACTTCTCACTTCCAGTGGTATCTGACAAGCAGACAGAGGACTCTTTGGTTGAAATACTCTTCTCTTGCATGTTTCTGCTATTACTCTCATGATAAACTATGATCATTAACAAACACACACATTATTATACTTAAGGTCTGCTAGTTTATCTGTTGTTCTTATCCTCAATCTTGTTGAATCAGCACCTGGAAGGGTTTGGTTACTTACCCGTGATGACAACAATTTGACATACCATTTGTCTTACAGAATACCGTTTTGTCATTGTTTCCATGTCCATATGGCCTGTTTAAAAAAATATCTTTTTTTGCACCTCTGCCAACACCATTTATTTTTCAGAGATTTATCAATGAAGACTGTATCATTTCAAGAATACAAGCTTCATGAAACATCTGTCATACAGCCACACAGTCAATGATAATGTGGATAAAAACAAGAATTTACAAAAAGGACATTCAACACCTAGGGGAAGATTATAAAACTACAAAAACTGTTTTATAGAATTTATGTGTATAGTAATATAAGAAACATCCCTGTTAATTATTCACAGTTCCTCCCAAAATTCCCAAGATGGAAAATCATCTATAGACAAAAAACTCCCACTCCATATACTTTATTTGAATTAAATTCCTCTTAAGCCATTAATACTTTATAAACATATAATGTAGTTGAGCCAAATGCCTCATAAGCCGTTAGTAACTACATAAAAATATAATTTATTTGAATTAAGTGCCTCGTAAGTCATTAAAAACAATACATTAATATAATTTATTTGAACTAAATGCCTCTTAAGTTTTTAAGAATCAACTTCAAAACAAAGCTCTAACAGCCTAACCTTATTTCAGGATCCAGAGCAATAGCACGTGGCCGGATCAGGTCTGACATTAAAGAGGTTCTAAATGATCCATCAAAAGAGGCTAATTCAATATGTTGGTAATGGCTTTCAACCCAGTAGATATGCCATCGAATCCAATCCACGGCTATGCCTTCAACAGACTCTACATTTCCTTCAACAATTGGTTTCACATTTTTCACAGCTAAATATTAAAATATGTTGAGTGAAAGCTCCATAAAGATACAAGTACACTTTTAAGACATACAAAAAATATAATACATGTACTAAAATAAACACCAACAACAGATTATATGTAATAAAATGTTAGCAGAATTTACTGTATGTATACTACGTATAACTGAAAGTAGATACAATCTTCACTCATGACCATACAAGACAAACTACTCTTACAGTTAGAGGTATAAATGTGTACACTAAGCAACTGTTAGAACACAAACACTCAACACCATAAAACTCACACACACACTTAAGTATATCTTATAATCAGCACATCTTCACACCAACACACTCTACTACGTATACGATGTATCACAAACATGCAAAAATATTTTACACAAATTAATTATTCAGACATATTATTTTGATATTAGGTTAAAATTACTCTAATAAGACATCTTCTTTCGATGTTTTCTGCATCATAAAGCTTACCATCACCTTACTAATTCTAATTAGTCTAAAAAATAGTAGGATCCATGTCAAAGATCATCACTCCAAAATACATATGAAACCTTAGCACTACTAACCTCTCATATGTATATGAATGTTCACCTGAGTTCTTCCATAAACATATATATATATATATATATCCACATTTTACCAACTAACTTAATTAATGAACAACAACACGTATATCTTGTAAACACAAAAATACTTCAATGAGTAGTTTTAAGTACAGAGTAAACTATACAAAAACCGGATATTTAGAATTAAAGAACCACATTGAATATGTTCTTGAATGAGAATTTACTATGTACAATAACACAGCCTACGTACAAGAACCATCAAAGGAACCAGAATAAATTTTGTCTTCATATACATCACTCCAAAACATCAGACTTTCATCTTTAAGGTACAAGTAATCTAAAGCACCGTGATGGCTGTGGTCTGTCAATAACTCTTCATCTCCATCCAAGGATGTCCTGATCAGACCTTCTGCAGATGTAATTAACAATACAGCAGGTTTGGAATCTGGAAACAGGATGGAGATCCTTGCAATTAAACAATGTTTCAAAATGTACATATACATAATCAACAAAAAAAGGATACTACAGATTAATATATATATATATATATGAAATGGTATTTCCTTAACAATATATAAATAAAATATATCACTAATTTACATTACCTATGCTAACACAGGAAAACTTATCCTGTTGAAGTTGGTATCCTTTTTCACATCCACATTCATAACTACCATTACTGTTGTCTAAAGAGACACACAGCTGGCTACATGTTCCCCATTTCTCACAGATGTTTATACCTGAAATATATCAAATAAAAATTTACCAAGAGTTACACACAGTTATTTTTTAAAAAGCTATGCAGTTAATGTTTTACAAATGACTACCATTTAATACTTATACAGTACTCTCATGAATAATTTTATTACTTATCAACTTTATACAGCAGTTCAAAGAACCAGTAAAAACATATTTTAGTTTTCAAACAGAACATCCCTCTACTTCCACACACACACACACACACACACACATAGTTTATCCTTAAGTTTTACCTCATGTCACAAAGCTCTTCAAGTCGTGCCTGGCACCAGGAATTTGAGATAAGTCTCAAGTAAGAACAATCGTAATATTTTAAAAACACTTGAGATAACAATAAACAAATAAATCACAAACAAAACTTGACCTGCAACCAAACTTTCTTCTTCCATGAATAAACAAAGAGTGTACTAGTGAAGTGGGCCTCAGTGATGTAAGGGATATCTATGGTAGTAGATATGTATGATTACAATACACAGGAGTGTACTAGTGAAGTGGGCCTCAGTGATGTAAGGGGTATCTATGGTAGTAGATATGTATGATTACAATACACAGGAGTGTACTAGTGAAGTGGGCCTCAGTGATGTAAGGGGTATCTATGGTAGTTTAGGCTTACAATACACAGGAGTGTACTAGTGAAATGGGCCTCAGTGATGTAAGAGGTATCTATGGTAGTTTAGGCTTATAATACACAGGAGTTTAGTAGTGGATTGGCCTTCAATAATGTAATAGGTTTCTATGGTAATTTAGCCTTACAATACAGAAGTGAACCAGTGGATTGGCCTTTAATAATGTAATAGGTTTCTATGGTAATTTAGGCCTTACAATACAGAAGTGAACCAGTGGATTGGCCTTTAATAATGTAATAGGTTTCTATGGTAATTTAGGCCTTACAATACAGAAGTGAACCAGTGGATTGGCCTTCAATAAAGTATTCATTTTTGTAAAAGAAATGGGCTTTAACAAATTTTTCAAAGAATAAAAAGTTATTGTAAAAGATAATTTGTTACTATAATTTTCCAAAAAACTTCTACAAAAAAAATGAAACAAGCATATGATGTACATTTACTTAGAATGTCTAAATTTATACATGTGCTAGTTAAGTACATAATGTCCACACACCTATCAGCTAAATAAATTCTCGTTGAAACCTTCCACTGCTAAACCAGTATAGTGCTGAAATGTGTCTTTAAGCCTTTATTGACATGTTTTCAAATTGGTGCTCAAAGTCTATATGTATTCTATATAAAAGTTATATATGTATTTTTGTCAAACATATTGTATTTAGCATACATTTTTTTGTTCAATTACAGTACATAAAAAACAAAGATCTATGCTGTAAACACATACTGGAGATGTATATGAACATTAGTATGTTACATCAACATCACATTACTGACTTGGTGTATTCATGATGAGGCTGTAATAATCGGTAGGCAAAGAATGATTTATATGTATAATGAAAGTTTTTATTGATGGTGGAACATACTACACGTTTCCACAGGACATTTGTCTGTCTTCTTCAAGTGTGATCAGTACTAAGCAATACAAGGTTGATAAATATCGTTACAAAGACAAAAGACACATAGATTAAATGTCATAGAAATGGTGTCAGCAGGTAACAGGATATAGGTAGAGGTCAAGTATGAATGGTGAAAGGTCCTTGCCAAATACAGCTGATGTTCCTAGAGTCATTATCACGGTTTAGTGAGAAATCTAAGTGCTTTGATGATTTCTAAAGTTTCTAAACAGTTTCTTTCTTTTTAGTTTTGGATTGGTATAGGAGAAGAATTTCATCCCAAAGTATTTAGTGACCTGTTTCATATTGATGATATATTAAGGCAGATACCTGGAATTCACCTCTACGCATGTGATCTTTCTAAGGAACGTGACATTTGTCCTATGAATTTATTTCCACATTCACGTGGAATACTTTATATGCCCTGTTTTTGTTCTTTTAATAGGGATTCTTTTGGGTTAGGCATTAAGATGTTAATTTTATGTGAGGGTGTGAATACAGATTTTACATAAATGCTAAAATTATTAAAAATGCCAGTAATTTTGTTAATAATTTCCAGAACAAAAGTGAATGAAACAAGTTTATATTTTGTGTTGTTGACAGCTGAAAGGTTAAAATTAACATAATATATTTTACTATTTTTGAAGTTTGATACAAGCCCTACCTATGATATTCAGGTTGAAACCTCTAGATAGTGCTATGTTCTTTAGGAAGTTCAATTCATTAAGTAAGTTTTCTTTGTGGGTGCAAATTTGTAAAGCACAGACCTGTAACCATTACCATACAGACCTCGCGTATTTATAATAAAGCTGTATGTAACCATCACCATACATACCTCGTGTATATATAATAAAGCTGTATGTAACCATCACCATACATACCTCGTGTATATATAATAAAGCTGTATGTAACGGTTACCATACAGACCTCGTGTATTTATAATAAGGCTGTATGTAACCATCACCATATAGACCTCGTGTATATATAATAAAGCTGTATGTAACGGTTACCATACAGACCTTGTGTACTTATAATAAGGCTGTACACCCTGCAGACATTAAGTTCCTCATTAAGTTAATCCTTCATATCTTACTTGACTAATCAATGTTCAGCAAAACTTAGTAGCATTGGAAACTTTAATGGATTACAACTTTCAAAGAAAGGGTAGAACACCATTTCTGCTTCTATAATGAAGCCTTCTTCAGGTAGTTTCAGTTCATTAAAGTTCTCAAACTTATTATTCAGTTCTCATTCCTTAAAGATAATACTATATTCATTTTTCATGTTGAATACGGTTTCTCCAGCTTCACTCATTTCACTTTTAGTACCTACATATGGGAATCTCAAAACTAAAATTCTATTGAGGTCAGTTTTTTTTTTACAGATACACATAACTAGCGAAAGTGTTCAAACACCTGCAAATGATGTTATTCATCAAATATCAACCACATGAGTAATGTCAAAGGCATGTTGGTTATAAACAAGCACAGAAAAATGCATTTTACTTCCAAGAACCCAAACAAAAGCACTCAAGCCAGCAAACTTTCAGAGAATGCCGACCATCTGGTCTTGTAAGTGAATATATTGACAGATGTACATTGCAAAGAAACTCATGCATAATATTGCATCAGGTCATATCCTAAACTGTTCAGATCTAGATATGAAACAAACTAGTTTTATACTTCTAAAGCTCCTGTATAGATCATATTAATACATCATATATCCAACTACATATCTCTAAATTGACACAGCTTTCCCAGTTTTCAATATTCAATTTGTTTACATGTAAAAATGTAAACATACCCACTTTTCATGTTCATAAGTCTGCTCGTCATTTTATATACCTAAATTTGCACCATTTGGAGTGAATAAAAAAACGTGTTACATTTTACTCATTCTTTCTGTGTGGTATGAAAAAAAAACACAAGAGAACAAAACCACCACAAAAATATTTTAACATAGAGAAATTTATCATGACTAGTCTTTGAATGAAATTATCATTCTACAAGAGGCATACACATTTAATCAGAAAACTTCAAACACTGTTAAGATTATTGTGGGAGGAATGAAATGATAAAGGCTTAATTTTCTTATATTGTATTTTGAACTTAATAGAATAAAAAGGCACAAGTTTAAGATTTGGAAAAGATAAGTTAATCTCCAGTTGAGATTATCTTATTTTATTAGCTGGATGATTGAATTATGAAACGAGTTGCCATTGACAGTAATTGAGATCAGCATTTTGTTGAGTATAAGAAAGAAAGAATTATCATTGGAAAAACAATGTCTTTCATTCACACAAGTATTTTAATAGATAACAGACCCCAGTCAGAACATTTCAATTTAATGAAAAACCATTTTACAACACAACACAGACAATGGTAAAATACCATAATTAAACATGAAATGCATTCAAAAGTATATTATAAGAATAATACAATGTTATTTAATAAGATAAATTCACTGCATCAGAGAGAAGGGCATAGAAATAGATAAAGATATACAGATATTGTTATTATGACTAATAATGATTTAAGAAAAATTAACTCTGAATTTTGAGTCTGTTGAAGAAGATTTTATACATATTAGGAGGATGATAGCTTTTAGAAAACTTGTAACCTCAATATGGAGTAAAAATATATGGCAAGAGTGATAAGTTTATTTTGTGTGCACATTTACTTTTACTCAAGAACAACTGTAAAATTCATTTAGTGCTGAGTTAGGAGTAGCAGTGTTTTCACTGTTATCAAAGTTGACAAGATATAATAGTAATAGTCTAGTTTTGAGAGCATCAACAGTGTACAGCTACTTGGTTTACGGAACATCTTAAACCCTTTAAGAAAGTTACCAGTCAGTATAAAAACATTATTCTAGACAACTGTGAACTATTCTAGACAAATGGAATGTTCTCAGCAGTGAAATGTTCTAGACAAAAGTGGATGTTCCTGGCTATGTAATATTCTAGACAAACAGGATGTTCCTGGCTATGTAATATTCTAGACAAACAGGATGTTTCTGGTTGTGTACTATTCTAGACAAACCTGATGTTCCCTGCTGTGTACTATTCTAGACAAACCTGATGTTCCCTGCTGTTTACTATTCTAGACAAACCTGATGTTCCCAGCTGTTTACTATTCTAGACAAACAGGATGTTCCTGGTTGTGTACTATTCTAGACAAACCTGATGTTCCCTGCTGTTTACTATTCTAGACAAACAGGATGTTCCTGGTTGTGTACTATTCTAGACAAACCTGATGTTCCCTGCTGTGTACTATTCTAGACAAACCTGATGTTCCCTGCTGTTTACTATTCTAGACAAACCTGATGTTCCCAGCTGTTTACTATTCTAGACAAACCTGATGTTCCAAGCTGTTTACTATTCTAGACAAACAGGATGTTCCCAGCTGTTTACTATTATGGACAAACAGGATTTTCCAGCTGTGAACTCTTCCAAACAAACAGGATGTTCCTAGCTGTGTACTATTCTAGACAAACAGGATGTTCCCAGCTGTGAACTATTCTACACAATCAAGATGTTCCCAGCTGTGTACTATTCTAGACAAACAGGATGTTCCCAGCTGTGAACTATTCTACACAATCAAGATGTTCCCAGCTGTGAACTATTCTATACAATCAAGATGTTCCCAGCTGTGTACTATTATAGACAAATGTAATGTTCCCAGCTGTGAACTATTCTACACAATCAAGATGTTCCCGGCTGTGAACTATTCTAGACAAACAGGGTGTTCCTGGCTGTTTACTATTCTAGACAAACAGGGTGTTCACAGCTGTGTAGTCTTCTAGACAAACAGCATATTCCAGCTGTGAAATGTTCTAGACAAACAGAATGTTCCCAGCTGTGAAATGTTCTAGACAAACAGAATGTTCCCAGCTATGAACTATTTGAGACAAACAGGATGTTCCTGGCTATGTACTATTCTAGACAAACAAGATCTTAATATCCATCCTCTGAACTCTTTTCAGTAAGTATCCTTTCTTAGATAAGGAAACCAAAACTGTCCACATTATTACAAGTGAGGCCTAACTAATGATTATTAATTAATAATTACCTCTTTTGACTTGTTTTCAATAAATCTTTAATTACACCTAAAATTTTATTAGCTTTACAGCTAAAAATGGAGCACTGCTTCAATGGCTTGATTAACTTATCCACCACTGTGCAAAGGTACTTTTCTTCAGTCCCACTATCAAGTGAGTTTCCATCTGTATCAAACATGTAATCCAAATTATAATAACCCAGATATATTATCCTGTACTTACTATAATGTTTGTCCAATCTTCACATTTACTCATGCCATTCTGTAATACCTCATTATAGCTAGAAATACCCAAGTGTTTAATATCATCAACAAACTTCACTAATTTTGTCCCTATCAACATTATTAATATAAATAGGCATAGGCTGAAGCACTGACCCTTGAGTTACTCCACAAGTAATAAGGATCCAGATTGACTGGACTTCATTAATAACAACCTTTCTGCTTCCTCTCTCTAACTACCCAACAATCTACTGTATTAGTCTTTTCCCTACCCCTACTTTTGTGATTTGTTTAATTAATATTTTAGTTGGCATCTTAATGAAAGCTTTTAAAAATCTAAGTACACCAAGTCCACATCCTTTCCTTTGTCATAATATGTAACATTCTCAAAAGAAATGACAGATTAATAAAACAATATTATTTCTTTTTGACTTTCCTCAATGATATATTTCACTAACTGATTTTGTAAAGCTTCTTTTATCAAACTATCTAGATTTTTTCTAATTGTACAATATTTCTAGGGTAACTCTTTTCATCATCTTTAAAAATAAGAGTAATGTTTGTAACTCTCAAGTCATCAGGCATCTGCCTATTGTTCACTGATCTACCATAAATGAAAGAGAGACTCAACAAATCTGATCTTTGACCTCCTTAAAAACCCTGGGGAAGACCCTGTCTAGTCTTCAAGATTATCTATTTTTAATCTGTCTCTCAATCTTTCTACTTATCACCAAAGGATTTGTATTTATATGATTCATTTACATCCCTATATTTCCCATAGAATGCTCAGGGTCAGGAACTAAATTTTTTGTATCCTAACACATCAAACCTAGTTTCATAATGATCACTCTTTCCAAAATGTTTCCCCATTTCAACTCTTGTACACATATCTTTACTAGTAGTTAATAATAAATTAAAGGTTACCCCACTCTGGTTGGCTCTCTGATCACTTGGTATATATACATATGTCCTAAAATACTTCAAGAAATCCTTTTCCCTCATTACTCAACTCCAAACAATCTAAATATTCTTAGTAGTAACAGTCCTGATCTGATTTTACAATTTCTTGTTGACTTCATCTGTACTTATAAGGTTCTTTGATTACCTTGGTGGATTCTAATGGATGCTGATTTTAAACAAATATATATTTAAATTAAATGAAACCCAAAAAATGCTTATTAAATTGAAAAAAAATAAAAATATTCACCAAATTTTCACTGTAATATCCAGTAAGTTTATCCTGCACCAGTAGTAGTAGTTAACACTTTGTAACACATACATAGTTTCAATAAGCAACAAAAAAGAAAGAAAATAATACTAATGATTAACATTTGTAAACAGTCCTTAAATTTCAAAACTGATTTAAAAAATTAAGTGAACATTACTCACCAGTGTTAGTGTTAGTACTATTCACCACTTTTCTTCCATTATCAAGTTCATCAGGTCTTTCTAATGATTCATTTTGTACTTTGACAGTATTATTCCTTTTATATCTATGCTTTAATTTTGTAATAAACTTCATTTCTTTTGATAATGAAGGAATTTGGTTTATGTTTAAATTCAAAGAATCTAGTATTGGTTCTGGTAATTTCCTGTTGAAAGTCTTGTAATAAATGGATTGCAACGACTTATTATATGCATTTGTATCAACTTGAGCCGACTGTGAATTGGCGCTTGATATAAAAAGAAGAATAACTATAAATTGAATGCAAAACTTCCAGTTTTTGATATTTAACGTTGGTTCATTAATGAACAAAGCTCGAATAAGCCTTCTCTCACCCGGAGTAAATATATTTGAAACGTTGCCAGAGCAACGAAGTAAAATGCTGTGAAGGTCGTAGAGCATAATTATTTCTTTGAAGTAAGATTACGGTATTTTAGAATTTGATATATTAAATATAACCCTCTCCCAGAAATTAAAATAATATAAGTTGGTATTTTAATATTCTTGTTACATTATTACTTTTCTCTTAGAATGTTGGTGAAAACCTAATAGTACCACATACACGTATACTCGAATCCAAAGCTACCACGCTGAACCAGGCACTATAAACAAGCCGTACCTGACGCATGCGCTTTACACAAATTGTGTACGTGACGAAACTCACACTAGTCTTCATATTTTTGTTTCTTTCATCAAATAAATTCAGGGGAATTGCTCACACAACATTTATATCAATAATTCTTATTTGTTTATAAAAATATAATAAAATTCTACCCTACATTTATATCAACTTCTCAGCAAAACAAAACTAGCAGACACAAAACTAACGTGCTTCTTTAACATGTCAAAGTATAAATTGTTTATATTTCACATAAAAAATATTAGATAAAAAAAACAATAAAAATAAACGTCTTTCTTCTCAACCCACTTCTCTAAGTTTCGGAGAATATTCGTTACTCTTAAGTAAAATATTTAGATGTTCAAACAATTACTGTAACCTCTTCCTTCGTTTAAAGACGTTGATAAAGTTTATTTTAATTAAAGCATATATATTTTTTGAACTGTTTGGCGTCTATCTGACCACCAGAGTAGTCATGTAGGCTCAAGGATTCATATAATCTACTGAGTATGCTTTTCCCTAAATTTTAACCGTGAAAACCTATATTTGCCCCTTCCCCCTAAGCTGAAATAAAATAAACTGAAATCTAAATGAAAAGTAACCCCGACAGATTAAATTCAAATCAAATGCTTAAAATATTAGCTCAAACAAACCCTACCTTCTTCGGAAGTCAAAGTTTATTCAAACCTCTTGTTACTTTAAATCCAGCTTAGTGTAGTGTCTCACGGATTTAATCGCAAAATAGAAAGTTGGGCACACTAACAACTGAAAGTTCTTGGATTTTGGACTTTAAGATATATTTCCCTTCGTGTTGCAATGATGTGGATCATACGATGAAAGAAACAAAACTCCGTAATCAGACATAAATAAATATATATTTATCAACAAATTAATACTGTTGTAATATGTTATATTTTATTTGTTTGCTACAGGACGCTGCTAACCATAATGATGTAATAATTGAAAACGAGGGTACATTATTTATCAACATAAGTAATCAGTCAGTGAAATGAGTGAAAATACAGTCAAGTATTTAGTAAAATAGGTGGTTTGAGTGTTGTTGCGTCAGCGAGGTCACGTGACTAGTGTCACACCACCTGCTTTCTAGAACTATTCCGTTCCTTCGGGAGTGCTCTAGCATTTACTAGATTGGGGGGTGGGCTGATATATATAAGATGGTCACGGCGTGACGTGAAAGAGTGTGTGTGTGTAGACAGTGAGTAATTGATCTGCAGTCAGAGAGTATTATTGAAGTTGAGCACGTTCGTTGTTATAGCGTTTGTTTTAGCGCGATTGTTGAAATTAAGTGTATCGTAAAGTTATATTCGGAAAGAATAAACCAGTTTTATTAAGTAAGGACTTGTGTCGCTAAAGTTTCGTCAGAACGAATTTACGGGAACTCAATTAACAAACGGAGTCGTAACAGTGTTATAAAAGTTATTCAGTGAGAGTTATGGACATTCAGTCACTCGATCGATTAGCTGTGGAATTGTACAGACACGTTTATCATTTGTGAGACGTTAAATGTATTACCATTACCGAGGAATTTCTACTTACACGTTATTTGTGAATTTAGGCCTACAGTCTGTGTCGAAATGTATCTATGTTTGAAGTTAAATACAAAGCTACACAATGGACTATCTGTACTCTGACCAACACAGGTATCGAAACCCGGTTTCTAGCGTTGTAAGTCCGCAGACATACCGCTGTGCCACTGGGGGGGGGGGGGCGTGTCGAAATGAGTGTAACCAATAGAAACATTACAGGAAATTAGAAAAAATATACTAATTCATTATTGCTACATGGATTGGACTAAGCATTATTTTCACCAAATAATTCAAAATAACCCACCCAGCGAAAAAACATAGAACATGTTAAAACATTGAATTATTTTAGTGATAATGAAATAAAAGTTTTACTAAATTTAAACATAACAACCATAACACAAAGCGAAGTTGAAGCTTTACTAATTACTAGAGATGATGAAACAATTAAAATAGGTTCAAGAGAGTAAAAAAGATAAATAGAAAATTAGAAGAATAGTACAGAGTTGATTAGAGATAAAGTGAAATACAAAATGCGCAGTCTTTTTTAAACACTAAATACAAACACAATGTGTGTATTAGCTTTATGATATAATGGATTGTTGTTTTTACTGGATACTCTCAGTGGCTTGTTCTTTAAGGTCTTGTTACATATTGTATAAATGCTACATTCCTTAATTCCCAAGAAAGTGAGAGCGATTGTTTATTCTCATTGCAACATTGGTGTGGCCATAACTCTAGATATCACCTGAATAACTGTTGAAGGATACTGCAATCAACATCCTTGCATAACGTGCAGTATTGAGCAGTATCTCTCCCAGGTAGAACAGGTATCGTTCACTTGAGAACAGCAAAGGAACAATGGTTGCAAGAATGAAATCAACTTAATGGCATTTTTGACTGTGTGTTATATACAACTTGCACAAAAATAGATCAAAGATCAAATTAAGAATAAATACTATAGTATTACAAGAGAATAGAAATTACAATATGCTCATACACCACAGTAGATGTGTTATATCAGTTATACTGCATGTTTTCTAACCGTTTATAACTCTTGGACTACTCTTTTACCAACGAATAGTGGGACTGACCGTGACATTATAACGCCCCCACGGCTGAAAATGTGAGCATGTTTAGTAGGACGGGGATTCGAACCCGCGATCCAGAGATTGCCCCTAACCACCTGGCCATGGCGGGCCTCCTCATGTTGAAAAAATATATATTTTTTAGAAAAACAATTCTCGCTTCGTTTTCTTGTCAGTTCTAAGCGTTATTTAAACTTACTAAGAGTAACTTTGATCAAACGATGTTTTAAATTAATATTTATATGGAATGTCGAGGCAAATACCCGAAATGAGCATTGTAACTTATATATAGGTTATTATTATTATTAACAAAGCTTGTAATGTAATGTTATTAGATGGCGCACATTCAGGGAGGGAGCCTTTCTACATACGTCATAAGTTAAACCTGTTTTAGACGTTAGTATTAATATTTGTTAATTTATTTTAGTTTACTTTATTGTTTTAGAATGTGCATGTTGTTACAGTGAATAAATGTTAATATTAACGATTTTGTATTAATAAACAGTTTAACTTGTTTGTTTAGAGTACACTATATTCAATAATGTTGGGATCAGAAGATTGTTTGATCTATGACCATGTTAATTTTTGTTAACCTACGCCTAAAAAGTAATACTAATAGTGTTAGTACTACTCACTCCTTATACTACTATTACTACTACTACAACTCACAAGTACTTAAAACTGAATTACACTGTCATGTCATCGTTATTATATAGTAATTCGTTGAATACAGAATAGTGAGTATTGTAGTTAAATTAAAAACTCTGGAATCAATAACCATAAATTCAAAGACTACTGAGTACTGTGTCGCGGGTCTAGTACTAGTACTCAGTAGCAGTGAGTAGTACTAGTACTTCGATTGTGGTGTATAACTTTAAGATTGTAAATGGGATTGATAGTGTTGATACATCATCATTTTTTATATTTAACAGTGAGAATAGTAGGACTAGGTGACACAAATATAAATTTTAGCATAGTAGAAGTCATCTTCAGCTAAGAGTGACAGTTTCATTTTTCTAACAGGGTTGTTGGCCTTTGGAATGGGTTGCCTTCTGATGTTTTAGAGACAGTAAATTTAAATGAATTTAAGAAAAAGTATCATAAGTATATGAATGATAAGGGCTGGTTTTAAGATTTTTTATTTATTTTAGTTTAGAAGATGGAACAGCCAAGATGGATCAATAGGTCCCATGTTGTCCCAAAATGTTATGTTACTGAGTAATGGTAGTTGTGAGAAAATAGAGCAGATTTCTACATCAACAAACTTTCATAATTGGCATTAAATTTTGAAACAAATTAATTAATAATATCATTTGTTTATAGTATTTCTAGTGCTAATTAGTATGCCTACTAAATTTGTTTCTACATAATACTAGTTAAAACAAACACTAGTGTATGAACACTGTAATGAGAGCTTAGTCTTTACAAATTGTAAAACTTTTTTTCTCTCTCTTTGAATTTGGTCTAGCATTGAACTTTATATATATATGTGATGGGGAGGGGAAATTGAATATTATATCTACATTTGAAATGTTTAAACATAAGTTTAACTCACCTTTATATTATTTTTAATACAAACACTATTAAGCATTTAAGATTGATTGTGTAATGAGTCAGTTTTTAACACAAATGCATACTGGGTTGAGCCTGCTTTTGAGCATGAGGTTTTCAAATTAATCTCAAGGTTACCATTGCATTTCACTAGGTAAATAGCACTGCTCATATTTTTTAAAATCTCTTTTAGAAACTACTTGGATAATGTTCTACAGTCTACCTTATGCTATGGCTGAAAACAGTGGTGGTAATAAAAGACAATGGAAAAATTACATCAACAGGTAAAAAATAAAAGTCCTCTATTTTAAAAATGATATAAAATGACAATTTCCGAAATAAGCATTTTACTTTTTTTTTATTATCACAAAACAAATATGAGTTATTGATACAGTTTTCTAAAATACTTTTTTTGATTTTATTATGTGTTTGTGTTATTCTCTTTTTCTTACAGGGTTTACACATGTATGTGATGATAAAGTAAAATACTTATTTCGGAATTTGTGATTTTATATCACTCTTAAAATATAGGACTTTTTTTAATGTTTTTACCTGTTTGTGTAATTTTCTTTGTCTTTTTACATTTGTGTTTTTTCCATTGTCTTTGTTACCTAGATTTGGCTGAAAAAGTACATACACCATCACAGCTTTTATAATGTTAATCTTACCCAGAATTCATCACAGTATTAACATTAAAGTCTACCATTGTTGTAAATACTGTTACAACTATTGTATTACCATTAATCAAGACATATCAACAGCGTGATAGAAAATATAATTCATAAGAAACATTGCAACACCAATTTACATACAGTCATGGTCTGTATGCCCACACTTGCAGGGGAGGTCAGTGTGATCATGAAAAGTATAGTGCCTGCTACCACTGAATTAAAGTTAAATGTATGTTATATGTAACAAATATGAAAAACACTAACCACACTGTGAGGATTTACAAATTCACTACGAATTAAAAATTAAGGAAATCAGAAATGGATTAGGATGGATTAAATGGACATCAAAGAGTTATTAGAAAAGTTTAGAGATTAGAAAATGATTACAATTTTTACACTAGGCAAGCTATGCAGTACAAAAGCAAAGTTTTATATATTTATTTACTCTTCAGTGTAAGGAACCATGTGATGTATTTAGTTTTCTTTCTACAAAAATATTAGTTTTGGGGTTCAGTTTATTATGTCAATATATGCAGTGGAAGAATTCTAAGTATTATGGATTATTTAAACAAAATAAGATTCAGAATGTATTGTATACATTTTTATTTATTTATTAGCCAGAAATATTTCTTGCAAATCAGGTACATCATTTCTTCAGCTACAATATATGTAAAATCTAAGTCTATACAAATAATTTTGTATGAGAAGCTTCTGAAATGAAAACACATTATATCTTAACTTTTTTTTCTTGTATCGAAGTTTCTTGCCACTGTTGAATATATTTTTCATTTTTTATATCAAGGTAACACATAATACTATATTTTGCTTCATGGTCATTGTTGCCTATGGGTAGTATTCAGTAAAACATGCATATTTCATAGGTTTTTCCACCACATTTTTTATTTAACCACAAGCTTTTGAGGACTCTTCAACAGGTGGGATACTAGGCTTAACTGATTAAGAAAAAAAAACAATTTAAAATGATTCATTTTATAAATGCTGCATGTTTACAGTGAACATTTACGAGATACAGTATCATTGTTTATGACACTGTAAGTGTACCAATGGGAAGAAAAATGTAAGATGATATAAGACCAACTTTGAAAAGCAAATATTATAAAGCATACATACTGTATGAGCTAGTTGTCTAGGTTTGTAAAATTTATATGTGCTCCTGTGATATTGACATGTTCACAGTTATTATTGGGTGAGATGTTCTGAGGTTTATGTGTGCTGGATTGCACTATAAAACTAAGAATATGATTTGTTTACTGGGTATTCAATTTTGGGATCTATTTATATTGGTGACAGAAGCTAAAGAAAATATTCGTTTTATAATATTGATTGTGTTGGTGATAGCAGATCTAAGGAGAAATAAACAGTTTGTTTGAAGATAGAAATCATGGAACGTCTGTCTCAGTTGTTCCTTATCTTTTATGTGAGAAAGAAATTTGAAGCCAGTTGTAAAGATTAAATGAGTAATGAGCAAAGATACTTCTGGTAGACTAGTTGAATTTTAGGGAAAGTTTTAAAACCAGAGTGTGTTATTCACCCTTGAAAGGCAGTTAGGGGCTTAAAATCATTTTATATGGTAATGAGAGAGGCTCTTTGACTTTGGAAATTTGTCTTGAATTTTTAGAATACTTGAAGCTGTTGAATTAGATATAGAGATTAAGGTAATAAAAAGTTTATTTCATTGTGTGTTAATACTGAGTGTTTGTAATAGATCATAGCATTGAAAAACTTGGGTTGCTCTTGTGTGATTGTTATTGTTGTAAGATCTCTGATGATGATAATCTTCTGAAGGCACTAAGATTGAGAGGGACAACAAAAGATGAGTGGATTGCAAGTTTTCCATAGGAAAATGAATGTATAGTGTGTATTTGGATCTTGAAAGAAAGGAAAAAAATGATTATTAGCATATTCTACAGGCTTCGTGGTGAGATTTTAATTGCATTAGAAATATCTACAAGTAGATAAGTTATGTTGTTGCTAGATATTTGCTTTTTATGATGAGAGACTAATTGTTACATTTGATTGGGATGTATATTACCCAGGGCTCCCACCCCCTCACACTGCAACTGGGACAAATGTTTCCTATTGTTGACACTGTTTATGCCATCTACTGCTGGGCCCAGGTTCTTCATCTTCACTATCATCACTAGATGGACAACATACTCTTGTCTCATTGTCACACATTTGAACACCACTTGACTCACTTTCACTACCTTCTAAGCTATCTGAATCAAGCATATTTACATAGTAATTAGGGTTACTACTCGCTGCTCTAGAGATGCGGGCATGGTTGACACAGTTGTCATAAATTCTGCTTAGGCATCTTGTTGGGTACTGGAAGGACTGAGTGAGAAACATTGAGGGAAATCATATATTAACATTAGGTGGGATGCCAATAAATACTTTCCAACTCATTTTACTCCCAAAGGAAGGGCCCAAAGGTGACATTGATGGGCCAAATTACTCTCTGTAAGTTTCATCTTATGTTTTTATGTATAAAACTGATAAACAGGTCTCTCAGTCTCATGTAGGTGTGAGACTTTTAGAAAATAATTTGGTGTCTTCAATAATGTATGAGAAAAAATGGCTCAAATTGTGCGAGAACATTGCAGCCAACAGGGTTCCTTTAGGAGTTAGTTTAGTCTCTGTCCTACTTACTAATATTTTAGTATCAATAAATTTAGGACCTGAAAAATTGATTATTTAGCTTATGGTTTAGTTTTCTTTAGTAGTAGTTATATTGTAAGAGTTTTTTTGGATAGTCCCATTGATTTTTTACGTGTGTGTGTGAACTGAAGTGTGTGCTGAGGTATCATTTAATAAAGAAATTTATTATTTATGCATTTGTATCACAACCCTTCAATTAAAATCATCATATATTTTCTGCTCTTATTTTACAATCACTTCATGAAATTTTGTTACATGATACTATACTGTAATTTTATCACCAAAATTATGAATTTCAGCAAGAAAGATATGTGAATCCTAATCTATCAGTTGGTTTGTCACCAATTTCTACCGGTTTGGGGGAATTCCACCTCTCATTAGCTGCTGCACAAGGGCAAATAAAGTAAAAAATACTGGTCTTTCTATAGTGTTTATAAGTATGATGTTTAAGTTATTAGCTTTAAAGTTGATTTTGTTCAATGAATTTATGTTATCCTGCAGAAAAATGTACTTGAACAACATTAATCTTGTGTAAAATGCTAAAGTATCCATTTTTTCAGGATCCTTACTCGCCATGGGAAGTCAAGATTTTCATTTGAAGTGGCACAGTCATCATAGCAATGTTTTGTCTGTTTTTGAACAGCTTATGTCTCAAGAACAGTTTGTGGATGTGACACTAGCGTGTGAAGGCATGAATATTAAGGCCCATAAAATGCTGTTGTCAGCTTGTAGCCCATTTTTTAAAGGGATATTTGAAGAAAATCCTTGTAAACATCCAGTTATTGTGATGAAAGATGTAAAGTTTTCTGAGCTCAAAGCTATTGTGGACTTCATGTATCGTGGGGAAATTCATCTACCTAAAGATGAATTGCAAAGTTTCCTGCAAACTGCAGATCTTTTAAAAGTGAAAGGGCTGACTGAGGTGAGAAATAATTTTCAACTATCAGCAGGTAATGAAAACCAGGAAAGCTTAGTCAACCCTGTTTTACATCAGATTACATCTTCAGATGTGATCGGTGAAAACCGAGCCTCATTTCAACCTCTTAAAAAGCGATGTCGTCGTCCAAAGCGTCATTCTACAGGAGAGAAAACAGTCAGTGTCTCAGACTCGGCAATATCTGACACGAACTTGCAGCTCGGTAAAAATCTACGAATAGGATTGGCCAATATAATTCCAGAAGCAAGTACGTATCCTGTTTGTAATACTGCTAGTTGTGCCATTACTAGCCATTCTGCTTCTGTTACAGATCCTGCCTGTGAAGTTGTGACAAGTCCTGCCTTTTGTGCAGGTAGTATGGTGGGTGTTAGTGGCAACTTTAATAATGCAGGGTTTGTGTCGACAAACAATAATCCAGTTATTTTGAGTACTGTCTGCTCTACAGTTGGTGTTGCAACCCCCATTGTTATTGCTCCCATTTACACAAACTCAACCGTCACCGTATCGGGTACCAGTACTTCTGTTGCCGCTACTACTGCTACTTCTACTTCTACTGTTGTTGCTAGTCCTATCATCAGCATCCCTGTTGCTGCATCTTCAACACAACTCCTTTCACAGCCTGAAGAGGATTGGCTTATGTCTCAGGGACAACAGGATGTGAGTATCAAATGTTACTTGTGAATTTTAATAATTCTAAAGTGATGTTTGTAAAACTTCAGACATTTAAAATAGTAAGAGATACCTGAAGTGCTACTGTTCTTTCCTTTCTCACATCTTATGAAACTTGTTTATATTGTCTGTAATATCAAAATTTTTCTGAAATTCAATGGAGGAGCACACAACATGAATTCCTAAAACTTGATATTGTTTTGTATTAATGAATTGACTTTGATACCTCAAAAATACACCTAAAAATATAGATATTTATTCTACCCCTTTATCATTTCCAAGAAAAGATGTTTTTGTTGAATCAGCTATTATCTATATTTGTTGCTGTTTTGAACTAATAAGAAACAAGTGAACTGTAGAGAAACTGAAGTAATATAGATTTAAACAATAAAAGACAGTTTAATCAGTTGTAAATACGAGTGAAAAAAAACATCAAATTTAAGAATTTTAGGTCTTGATTGTTAAATTCTTATATGCAAATAGAGGTTTTAATGAAACTAGCAGAAATACCCACCCTCTGGGCAGGTATGACTGCTAGTTCCTGCTGAAGGCTTATGAGCCTGCAGTCTTTTCTGGAATTATCTGACAGTTCTACAACAATGTTCTCATACTTGACATTCAAAAATGTTCATCATTCATGAGAAAAAGGATTTTATTGAAATTTTAGTTTTAGAATGAACTGTCATGACAGCATTACATCACAGAGTAGATTTTATTTAAGTATTTCTTTGTAGACAGTTATCAATGAAAGTGCCTTGCTTTTCTGTTGCAACACTCATGAGATTTTCACTAAAGAAAAACAATTTTTTTAAGTTTGTTTTTTGATTGTTTTATACTTCAAACTAACTCCTTTTTGTTTTTAATATTTATTGGTTAAATCTGAAACTTACTCCTTTTTGTTTGTAATATTCATTTTTTATATCTGAAACTTACTCCTTTTTGTAATATTTATTGGTTAAATCTGAAACTTACTCCTTTTTGTAATATTTATTGGTTAAATCTG